ATTCCTATTTCATAGGGTTGTTTTATGTATCAAATGAAATAACATCTACAATGCATTACAGAATTTAAAGTGCTTCAGGAATTCTGTCTTTTATTCTCATTTCAATTCTCTCCTCACCCACAGGTCTTTGAGGGACCTTCTCATGAGGGACAGTTTCATGGCTATCTGGGGCTAGCACCCTAGAAAGGTGCTAGGTCACTGGAAGCCTCTGTCCACACCAACAGACATTGTCTCAGTTTCTGAAGCTTAAGTTATGGCACTTCAGTGTCTTGCTTATTTTTAAGGTTGATGGTCCCTGAGGTTTAAATGGAGATCTCTGAGTTGGTTGTTTTTGTGTTCGGTTGGTTATCCTGAGGAAGAGGTCAGCTTAGGCCCGACACTATACCAGGCAACTCCCTCTGTCAGAAAAGTGTGTGTTCCCTTCTCTGCCTTAACTTTTCATCATCTGTAGGCCAGATTTACTTGGCTTTCAACCTGGGTCAGTGATTTAAGCCCTCAACCTAGGTGTCATCCTAGACTCCTTATTGTTATTCACTTTGTGTATCCAGTTTATTGCCAAGTACTGCCGTTTCTGCCTTCACACCTTTTCTCAATATGTCCTCTTCTCTCCACTCACATAGCTGCCATCTTGGCATATGCCCTTCGTCACCTCTGGTCTAAACCATTCCAATAGCCTGCCGATTGGTTTTGTTGCCTCAAATCCCTCCACACGTCGCTCCATGCTCCATTTAGCTGCCAAAGTGCTCTTCCTAAAGAGCAATTCTGATTTTGTTGCTCCTCTTCCCAGTAAACTCCAATGGCTCCCTATTACCTCCAAAATCAAATATAAAATCCTCTGTTTGGATTTTAAAGCCCAGTATAACCCAGTCCTTTACTACCTTTCCAATCTTCTTACACTTTACTCCCTTCCAAGTATCCTATAATTCGGCGCTACTGTCCTTCTTGGGATTCCTCAAATACAACATTTCATCTCACCTTTATCCTTTTAAAAAAAAAAACTTTAATTATTTATTTTTAGGCAATGGGGGTTAAGTGACTTGCCCAGGGTCACACAGCTAGTGTCAAGTGTTTGGTCTGAGACCTGATTTGAACTCAGGTCCTCCTGACTTCAGGGCTGGTGCTCTATCCACTGTGCCACCCAGCTGCCCCTGCCTTCATCCCTTTTTGCTGCCTGTCCTTTGTGCCTGGAAACTCTCCTTCCTTGCCTCCTGGCTTTCCAGGCTTCCTTCAGATTTGTTCAGATCCCACTTTCTGCAGGAGACCTTTCTGAATCCCACCGCCACTGCCAGTGCCTCCCCTCTTAAGATTATCAGCTATTTGCGTTATATTTATCATCTTATATGTCCACAGTTAACTTACACACTCACATTCTAGTATAAGGGGCAGGGAGTAGGTTTTTCCCTTTCTTTGTATTCCCAGCATTGAGCGCGTGCCTCACATCCGATAAGCACTTAATAATTTTGTTGGCTGACTTGACATCAGCTCTCATTAAGATGAGGGAAGAGTAAAGTCAGCTGAAGCTGGAATAGGAGGGCTTCTCAGTGATGGAGACTTCTCTTTGTTGACAGTCCTGTGGGGACCCCCCCTCCCTATTCTTGGTCACTAGCCCTTTGACTACCTGCCTTGTGGTTTTTTGGGGGATAGTTTGTTAGTTTTTTTGGGGGGGGTTGGCTAGGCAATGGGGTTAAGTGAATCACACAACTAGTGTCAAGTGTCTGAGGCTAAATTTGAACTCAGGTCCTCCTGATTCCAGGGCCAGTGTTCTGTCCACTGCTCCACCTAGCTGCCCCCCATCTGCCTTGTGTGGATGCTACCTTCCCAACTCCCCTTCCTTTTTGGCCCTCCAATATGTCTTTTTGTTTTCTGTTTATTAACTTTGCTTCTGAATCAGAGAGAGGACAAGCCACTTTACCACTTTTTCAGCCTTAGCTTCCTCCTCTGTAAAATGGGGGTAACAGTAGTACCCATCTGATACGGTTGTCAAGAAGATCAAATGAGATAATACATATGAAGTGTTTTGCAAAACTTGAAGTGCGAATGGTATTAGCCATTATAATTTTCCTATAGCACAGTGCCTGGCACAGAATAAATGCTTAATCAGTGTTCATTTATAGATTGAATGATTGCTGCTCAGACTCCATTGTTTCCTGTACACCCCAATTTCCCAGTCCTGGTTCCCCAACCCCTCAATGTGCTGTTACTTACAACCTGGCTAAACCCGCTGGTGCTGTTACACCTTTTAAATAGCTGATATAGCAATATGCATGCAAGGATAAATAACCAAAGGACAGGTTCTGAACGTTTGAAAAAAATAGCTTCTTTATATTGCCCAACACACTTCAGTTCCTGTCTCTACTCAGACCACCATAAGCTCTCTAGAAAACTACAGGTGCCTAGTTTACAACTTTCAGTGCTGCCATTTGAAGTGAAGTGTTCACAAAAAGACAAAACCACATCCTCTTCTTGCATGATGCTGTTAAGGTCTGGTTCTGTACTGTACTGGGGTATTTTTTTCCTTGCATTTTGTAGTATAAGAGGAAGAAGGGAAGCTTGGGGGTAGTTGGGCTGAACCACTAAATCTCCCACTAAGTTCTCCCAAATTACAGGAGACCTTTTTGAAAACTATCCTAGCATCTGTGCCCTCTGCCTTACAGGCAGGAAACCACGTCTCCCATCTGTACTTCGCAGCTAGTCTCGGGAAATCACAACTCACATCTGTGCTTCTTTGGAAATGAAAGCATTGAAGCTTGGGGGTTTTGCTTTTTGAGAGAGAGCTATGAATGAATCTTAAGCAGAGGTTTTTCAGTTGGCACAAAATGCGGAAGACAATTCAGTGGCTGAACACAGAATTCATTGGTTGAAAAAACACTATCCATCTGGAAGGAAGGAAATAAACATTGATTGAGTGCCTGTCATGTGCCTGGCCCTTTGCAAATATAATCTTAGTTGATCCTCACGCTCACCTTGGAAGGTAGGTGCTATTATTAGCCGTATTTTATAGAGGAGCAGACCAAGATGAAGTAACTTGCCTAGGGTCACACAGCTAGTCAGGGTCTGAGGCCACATTTGAACTCAGGTCTATCCACTGATTCACCCATTTGCCTTACCTTCTAACCCAGAGTTTCTGCCACTAAGTCATATAACCCAAGGAGATGAATGACAAAGATGAAGGCCCCCCAGGTACCAGATGTTTTTAATAGCATTTTCTATAAACAAAGTTAGATGCCCATCTGTTGGGGAATGGCCAAAGAAGTTGTGGTACATGAATGTATTGCGGTATTACTGTGCTGTAAGAAACTTGAATATGATGAATATGGCAAAGCTCGTGAAGAAAAAGCAATCGAAATTCAATGTTATAAAATTATGATGACCAATCTTAACTCCAAAGAAGAGTCATGAGAAGACACCTCCCATCTCCTACCTTCTTTGCAGAAGTGAGTTACCAGGGTGTGGGACAATGCATAGAATGTACAACTTTTTTATATGCTGGCTAGATTTGACAAATTATAAATAATAAGTGAAGGGGACTGTCATCAGGACCTAAGAGTAGGTCTTGAGTGTCTATGGATCGGGACAGAGAAGATGAACCCATGCACAGCCCTAGAAGTGGATTTGGCTCTGTACTGTGGAGCTTAGCGGACAGATCTTTTGCAGCATTGCAGGATTGTTTTCCTAGGTGGGGAAAGAATTGAAAGTCACATTGTTAAAAAGCAGGTTGCAAGCATAGTCTTGTTTTCTTCTCTCCAGGACTGTACTTGGTGAATTTCCTCCCACGTAACACAAAGAAAATAAAGCTCAGTGAGGGTGAGCAAAATGTAAGACCGAATGCAGTACTGTGTTCCTAGTGGGTACTCAGTCAATGTTTTCTCGAGATAATGACATATTATGTTCCCTTTACATATGAATATCCACAAACAGAGCCAGAACCTAGGATTCTGCCAAGGAAATATCCATGTCATTTTTAGCAATCGCCTAAATATTTAGTTATAAGAGTTGATATTTATATAGAGCCTACTGTGTGCCAGGCACTGTACTAAATGCTTTACAGTTATCTCCTTTGATCTTCACAATAACCCTGGAAAGTAAGTGCTGTTATTATCCCCATTTTACAGATGAGGAAATTGAGGCAGACAGAGGGTAAAATGACTTGCCCACTGTCCCACAGCTAGTAATCTGGGGGCTGGATTTGAACTCAGGGCTTTCTGACTCCAGGTCCTCATTACACACCAGGACTGAGAATTTTTTTTTTTTTAGGTAATTGGGGTTAAGTGACTTGCCCAGGGTCACACAGCTAGTAAGTGTCAAGTGTTTGGTCTGAGGCCGGATTTGAACTCGGGTCCTCCTGACTACAGGGCCGGTGCTCTATCCACTGCGCCATCTAGCTGCCCCACTGAGAATTTTAGATGCTCAAACCCTGTGGGCTTCTCTTTTATTTATACAGTACTAAAAAGAGTCTTGTTGACAACATATGGATAACTTAAAATCTGCAAGTTGCCTGCGTCCAGTGGTGGTTGGCATCATTGAGATTCCATTGTGATCAGGGTCATAACTAACGTGGAGTGATTGGGTTTATAAACTCCATCTTACTCCAGCAGCCTAGACAGATATTCCAGAACCACCTCCATGCTGCCATCTTCAGCATCCTGATAACAGGATGCTAGATATGTGTGCCTGGCTTCCACCTTCTCCCACAACCCAGACTGTCTGGGGGAGGATCGACCTCCTCTCCTGGCATGACTGTACCCACAGTCAGACTATGCTCTGCACCACACTCCCCACCCCAAATTGCTCTGCCCCCAGTACAATTATTTTTAGCCAAGGCTCTGATTATCATAGTGTCTTTTCCGCATTTTAATTTCATACTTCTTGAGGTATTCTCTGTTGGAAAACAAGTTTCTGATGAAATGGCCAATGACTGGTTTCCACTGTGCATTTATAGAGTTGTTAGTATTTATTAATTGTACTTTTAAATCACAATTTTTTCCCTTTTTATTTTTCAGGATCCTAAACATTTTAAATCAGAGAAAACAGGGAGAGGACATTTAAGGGAAGGCTGGAGAGATAGTCACCAACCCATCATGTGCTCCTACAAATTGGTGACTGTGAAATTCGAAGTCTGGGGACTTCAGACCAGAGTAGAACAATTTGTACACAAGGTGAGTGAAAACCATACTATGGATTTAAGCACGGGCCAAGGAAAGCCACCATATTGCTTAAGATCTGGCCAGGGTGGAAAGATATATGTACAAAAGTATGAACTGCCTCTACAAGGCAAATTGATTATGAAATCACATAGTACTCCATTCATAAAATGCTTCCAGTATTAACAAATGGGCAGCTAGGTGGCACAGTGGGTAAATCGCAGAGCCAGGAGTCAGGAAGACCTGAGTTCAAATGCAGCTTTAGATAATAGCTATGTGACCCTGGGCCAGTCACTTAACTATTTTTGCCTCAGTTTCCTCATCTGTAAAATGAGCTAGAGAAGGAAATGGCAAAGCACTCAAGTATTCTGCCAGGAAAACCCCAAATGGGATCATGAAGAATCGGACATGACTGAACAAAAACAAATGTGCCAGGAACTGTGCCAAGCACTGAAGATACCGAAAGAGTCAAAAGACAGTCCCTGCCCTTAAGGAGTCTCCTAATAAAGGAGACGACATGTGAACAACTATGTACGGCACACGTTATAGATGGGATAAGTTGGAAATAATCAACCATCTAACTAACGTATTGCTGAAGACCAATTGCTTAGCTTTTTTTGTTTGTTTTGTTTTGGGGGTGGTTTTTTGGAGGGAATTGGGGTTAAGTGACTTACCCAGGGTCACATAACTAGTAAGTGTCTGAGGCAGAATTTGAACTCAGGTCCTCCTGAATTCAGAGCCTCTGTCTATTGCACCATCTAAGTGCCCCAAGTTGCTTAGCTTTTTAAGGAATAGGCATGTGGGGGGCAGCTAGGTGGCGCAGTGGATATAGCACTGGCCCTTGAGTCAAGAGGCCCTGAGTTCAAATCCAGTCTCAGACCAGACACTTGACACTTACTAGATGTGTGACTCTGGGCAAGTCAGTTAACCGCAGTTGCCTCATCAAAAAAAAAAAAGAAAAGAAAAGAATAGGCATGTGGCCCTGGTCTGTACAGGAAAAACAAAAAAATGCATCCCTTACCTCCATTTTTTTCCCCCAGTTTAGTTAGCCTGTACGTTATTTGGGATTGCAAGAGAGTCTGCAGATCTTTTCATTTATCTGTAACACAGGATAAAGGACTTGGAGATCCAGAATCTAAATGCTTGATTTTTGCAGAATTCTTAACCAAATCAGATGATGTATGTAACACATTTGCATCACAGCTAGTATGGTACAGTGGCTAGAGAGCAGGCCTTGACCCCAGGAAAACCTTGGTTCCAGTCCTGACTCTGAGATATACTGGCCATAGGACCCTGGGATAAGCCTTAAAAGCCTCATTGCTCTTCCGGAGGTCTCAAACTCAAGGCCCTTTAACTAGGACATGTTATGTTGTAGACGGTGCCGACTTGCATTAGTGGAGAGAGTTTCCTCACTTGGGAGTTCCCTTTGACCAATATAATCACAGGTCTGCCCTCTGTCCCTTGTGTCTATGTAAAGAACTTTGCAAATCTCAAAATGCTATAAATGTTACACATGTTAGCTATTCTTATTAGCTCTTAAAAAGTGGTGCTAGAATTGAGTGCCTAAGGAACAGTCTCCATCTGCCTCCACAGTTCTCCCTCTTGGAAAATTGGGTGTCATAAATAATAACTAAGTATGGACTGAATTTGAAAACTCTTAATGTTTTAATTAATGAATAAGTATTGTTGATGAAGTTGTTGTTCAGTTGTTTCAGTCATGTCCAACTCTTGACCCCATTTGGGATTTTCTTGGCATAGATACTGGAGTGGTTTGCCATTTCCTTCTCCAGCTCATTTTGCAGATGAGGAAACTGAGGCAAAAAAACATTAAGTGACTTGCCCAGGATCACAGAGCTGGTAAGTTATCTGAAGCTGCATTTGAATTCAGGCCTTCCTTTCTCCAGGCCCGCGCTTCTAATCACTGCACCATGTAGCCGCCCCCAGTGAATAAATATTCCCAAGCTTTATTCGGGCACCAGCTCCTTGACCACTGCAGAGCCTACAATGGTTAGTGTGGTGTGGAACACGTGGAGAAAAAGGTCTAACTCCCGTTCTGCCACCAGTCATTTGGCAGTAATGTAGTCGATCAGTAAACATTTATTAAGCATCTCCTATATGCCACAAACTGTTTTGAGTGCTTGGGATGCAAAGAAAGGTAAAAGACAGTCCTTGCCCTCAAGGAGCTTACAGTCTAATAGGGGAGACAGTAAGCAAATAACAAGGTACAAATAAGATATATACAGGAGAAATTGGAAATAATCAACAGAAGGGAAGCCCTGTCATGAAGGGGGATCAGGAGAGGCTTCTTAGTAAGAGATAGAATTTTATCTGGGCCTTGAAGCAAGCCAGGGAAGCCAACATGGGGGACAACCAGGGCAAAAAGCCTGGAATCAGGAGATAGAATGTCTTATTTGAGGACCAGCAAGGAGGCCACTGTTACTCAATGGAAGAGTACATTTCAGGGGATTGCTTTCAGAGTTAAAAATTCTGCTTTCCAACTCAAGTTCTGACATCATTCCCGAGACATCTCTTCTGTGCATCCCTTGAGTCCATCGTGATCTTCCCTCCCTCAGGCCACTGCCATTAGGGAATGGTATCATTCCCTCTCCTGAAGCTAATGATGAGGTAGCCCCAGCACTTGCCCAGTAATTTTCCCATGGGTGACTCAAGCTAATCTTGAGAATTTTATCCTCATCTTCAAAATACTTACTAGCATTGTACAGGATTATGAATTTTCCCTGGTGCCCATTCCTAAATAGACTAAAGTGTTCTCAAAGCTCAAAAAACACCTGCTGTGGCATCGAAGGGACTAATTAGTATCTGGGGATCGCATTTCTGTGGGTTTAAAATTCCAAGGATGCCTCTCTTTGAACACCTTTGTTTCTTAAAGATCCCTTCACAGTCAGAAAAACCATTAAAATATGAACTCTTAAAGCATTATTGAATCCTGGTTTCCGACAGGCAGCTGTGTTGTGCCTAATGTAATGGGGTGTATTTCCCGATGCCATGGTTGCTTTTTCTTTAAGTCTTACCAGTTTCACATACTCAGCACTCAAGTGTCTATTGTTGCATGTTGCTGCTCATTTTCATTACATGTGTTTTCCTCCTTCCATGTCATAAAAGCCTCTTTAGCTACTTAGATGCCCTGAGTAATAAACACTTCATTATAAGTACTTTTCCTGCTTCATAAAACCCCACAAAATTCAAATCTGTCATCTACTGAAACATGCATGAGATGAGAGGTTTTGTCAGTTGCTAAGTGGGTTTGGCAGGACTGAGGGTATGTTAAGACACACTGTCATGGAAACATACCGGTACACACATGTACATACAATAGACACGTATGCCATAAATGCACGTGTGTACAGGTGCACTGTATGAACAAGTCAGTCATTAAAAATTTACTAAGCACTTACTTTGTGCCAGGCACTGTGCTAAGCAAAGAATATTTATTTTAATGCTTCACAGAGCCCATAAATTTATATATTTTAAATATAAGATTTCTGTCTTAAAATCTCCTACCATCTAATCTCTTTCATGACAAACCATGGGTTACTTCTTCCTTCTTTATCTATAAGTCAAGCCAAGTCATCAAGCATTTATTATGTACCTACTGTGTGCCAGGAAATATGCTAAGTCCAGTCAGTAGGCAGTTATTATGTGCTTACTATGAGTCAGGCATTGTGTTAAGCACTAGACATGTAAAGGAAGGCAAAAAGCATCCCTGCTATATACCTATAAAATGAAGGCATTAGAATAAAATCTCCAACATCTTTTCCAGCTCTTTGGAAGAAAAAAGTCAAACCATGAGGGTATTTGTGTCAGAATTTTATTCCTGTGTCCTTAGTGTATTTTTTAAATGCAGTTTACTCAATAAATGCAATTCGAAATGTAAACAAGATTTGGAAGTTATTTGAAGAAAAGAGAGTTAAGTTCAGTAAAGTAGAAAGTCGGTCAACACAAATTTATTTTCTAACAAGTCTTTTTTTATATGTTTTTGTTTTTTTGTGAGACACTTGGGGTTAAGTGACTTGCCCAGGGTCACACAGCTAGTAAGTGTCAATTGTCTGAAGCCCAGATTTGAAATCAGGTCCTCCTAACTTCAGGTCAGGTGCTCTATCCACTACACCACCTAGCTGCCCCTATACAAATTCATTAATCACCTACTATGTGCCAGGCACTGTACTAAGTACTGGGTTATGAGAAAAGACAAAAACAGCCTCTGCCCTTTAGGAGCTCACATTTTAATGGAGGAGACTCCATGCAAATAACTATGTGCAAATAAGATACATAGAAACTGCAAGTGATTTCACAGGGAAGGTACTAGCATTAAGGGGGACAAGGAAAGGCTTCCCACACAAACTCAAGATTTGGAATATAGTATAATGTAAAATAATAACATAATATGATATAACATGACCTAATATATAATATAACAATAATGGCTGATGTTTATATGGTGCTTTAAGGTTTATAAAGCATTCTGCCTACATCATCCCATTTGATCCTCTAAATAACCCTGTAAAGTACGTTGTTATTATCCTCACTTTACCAACTCACAGGGCCCTTGTGAGGATCAAGTAAGATCAGATGCACACAAAGCACCTTCTAAGAGCTACATAAATGTCGGCTATTATCATTAAAGAACATAATGGCTCTTAGCCTATACTCCAGTGTGCACATGACTTGAGTTCTTTTCCAACAATCACACCTTTACCTTCTTGGGATAATGGGAGACGCCACCCTGACTCAGTAAGTGAAAAGCATCCACCGTTTTAATTGAAGATGAGTGAGGACAGACTTCCACAGGTAACTAACATCAAAGCTAATTGCCCTGCTGAATTGGCGCTGAGGGGCTTGCCATTAGCACATCCCTTTAAGACCCAAACATATACACACAGTGAAAATGACCCCATGATTCTCAGATAACACTGCTATACTCTTTTTTTTTTAACTGCCATTACCTTTTTCATAAATAATAATGGTGGCAGTTGTATATAGTGAGAGGGGCTAAGGAACCTGTTTTCCCCAGGAAACCAGTTTATTTCTTATGAGATTTTGTGACGAGGAGTTTTGCTTCCACTTTTCAGGTGGTCCGAGATATCCTGCTGATTGGGCACAGACAGGCTTTTGCATGGGTTGACGAGTGGTATGGTAAGTCAGTCCATTTCCCTTAAGCAACTTAAAGAATAAACTTAAAACTTTGATATCTTTCTGGTTCTGTTTCAGTCTATCTGATTTCCACTGTTGCCTGGATGTTAGGAGGAAAAATAAAATTCAAGAGTACTGTTTCCTGTCTTGAAAAGAGTGTGGTCCAAGTGAGCATGTTAATGAAAGATGTAATTATGAACTATGGTCTAGACAGAGAATAACTTTAGAATCACTGACTGCTGACTAAGTAGAGTCACAGGAAGTCCTATTCTTGTCTGTTTCACAAGGAATGACCCATACCAACTTCCTGTAGGTAGATTTCAAACTTCTTCCCTTGCTGTATTCCTAGAAGGAAGGGTTTATTCTAAATGGGAGTTGTGGGTTTTTTTTTAATAGTTGCAAATATTTTATCAAATAGGAGTGCTTAAAATTATCTGTGATTGGAAACTAGATGACAGTAATAATAATGACCTACCATTTAGATATCACATCACGGCCTGAAAAGAGCTTTGTACAGTATCTTATTTGATTTTCCTTCTCATAAACATGAAGATTTTACAAAGGCTTTGGGTAAAGAAGCAACCTCCAAGGGTATACACAAATAACAATCAATGTTATTTGGAAAGCTTGGGAGTTAGGGGTTCATTTTTTGTTGGTTGGTTTATTCACATAATTTAGGAAAAGTTAAATCAGCTTTATCTGTTTCTAGTAAATGATCAGACTTTATTATTTCATCACTTGGTTGATGGACCATCTCACTCCACCATATCACACTTGTCATTCCTCTAAGAGGGAGAACCCAATATAATGGAATGAGCACTGGTCTTAGAGCCCAAAGTTGTGAGTTCAAGTCCCAGCCCAGGCGCTTAGTATCTCTTTGGCCATAGACAAAGTCGTTTCATTCTCTGAGCCTTCATTTCTTCGTTTGCAAAGTGGGGGTGGTAATGCTAACACTAACTTCCTCATAATAGAGTGGAGATGCTGCTGGGTTTTTCTTTGAAAGTTAATAATAGCTAGCATTTATATAGCACTTCTTAGGTTTACAAAGTGCTTTTCTCATTTGATCCTCACCACAGCCATGGGAGAAAGGTGCTATTGTGATCCCTCTTTCACTGAAGCTGATAGAAATTAAATGACCTGCCCAGGGTTACACAGCTAGTAAATGTCTGATGCTGGATTTGAACTCCGGGTCTTCCTGACTGCAGATCCAATGCCATATCCACTGTGCCACCTGGCTGCCTTTAGGCTGATGGGTTGGAAGCTCTGGTAGTTTTCACCAAACTGGAACTTTTCAGTAAAGACCTAGAAACAGACTCTATGCCTAATGTCCCAGGACAGGAATAACTAATTTTGGAGAGACGTATTATGAGGTTGGCCATAGGGTGGTAAATGATAAGCTATTTCGTCTCTCAGAGACCTTCTCCTAAGTTATAGAGGAATTATAGTTCTTGGCAGAGGGATACCCTGCACAAATGAAGTTGCATATCCCTGAAGTCTTGAAGTACCAGCCTCATAGGGTTGTGAGAATGCCTTTTGTAAATGGTAAGGTGCTATGTAAATGACCTGAAAAAAGACCATCAATGTTCAGATAGTATTCCCAATTGTAAATAGGAATAAATGCATTCTATTAGTAGATTGGGTTGGATCTGAATTTCTTAGAATCTTAGGATCAAAAATTTAGAGCAAGAAGGGACCTTGCAAGTCATCTAGTCCAATTCCTTCCTTTTGTTAATGAGGAAACTGAAGCCCAAAGATCGATTTCTTAATGAAATCTACGCAGCTGTGTAGTGCAATGGCTGAAGCTCTGAGATCAGAGGCAGGAAGATCTGAGTTCAAATCCTGTCTCAGACATTGACTAGCTCTGTGAGCTTCGACAAGATGCTTACCCTCTCTCAGCCTGTTTTCTCCCTCCTTTTGGCCTTTATTTAAGAAAGGATGTTAGATTTAAAATAAAGGGGTAGATCAGATTAACTGGTCAGAGATGGTCAACAGTCCCAAACATAGCCACTGCTTTGAGTCATTTCAAAGTAGACATGCCTCCATAAACAGTCCAATTCAGATTCAGCTACAGAGTAGAGTCATCTCCCTGAGTTTGCTCAGATGTGTAAAACATTAGAAGAGATCTGTCTTAAAGATCAGTATTTGCTGTTCCCTCTTTTTGTCTTGTATTTACTTACCAGTAGGGCCTAGACCACCAACACATAACACTGCTGAGATTTTGAGACGGCCAAAATGTGGCTACCCTCTACTTCATAAAGAGATACTTTTCACACATGTAGGCCAAGGGATAGGCTAGGGACTGTTTTCAGTGGTGCTTCTTCTGGTTTCTAACACAAACCTTAATATACTTAAGTCTGGGCTGCTTTCAAGGTCTAGAGCCAGAACAGAAAGTCCTTCCCACAAGCTGTCCGAACTTTGCCCTGAAACATACCTCTAAGTAACATCATTTGCTTACCATCAGTCCTCTGATCTAAGAGATCATAGGCTCCAATTGATGGTTTGGCAATGACAAGAAAGAAATTAAACAATCCAAAATAGGACACTTTGAAGATTAGGAGATTGCCCAGGTTGATAGATTTCTTCACAATGCCAGGGTCTTAAAGGGAGAACCTTTCGATAAACATCAGAATTGATAATCAGGGAAACTACTCCAAATCCAATGTTAAGGTTCTTATAAATAGGATTTTTATAAAGACCTACTGAGATAATGTATGCAAAGGTCTTTGCAAGCTTTCAGGTATTAAACTGTCTTATTTTTTTTTTTAAGCATTTATTTTTTTATTTATTTTTTAAATGGAATCTTTCTTTATTTTTTTTTCACTTCCACAAGTTTTTGAGTTCCAAATTTCTCACCCCTCCCCCCACCCCAAGATGGCATGCATTCTGAATACCCCTTCCCCTGGTCTGCCTTCTCTTCTATCTCTCCCCCCTCCCTTCTCTTATCCCCCTTCTCCTATTTTCCTGTAGAGCAGGATAGACTTCTGTACCCCCATTTCCTGTATTTCTTATTTCCTAAACTGTCTTATTATTGACAGCTTAGGTGGTACATTCAGTGGAGCCCTGGTCTTGGAGTCAGGAAGACCTGAGTTTAAATCTGGTTTCAGGCACATACTAGATATGTGACCCTGGGCAAGTCACTTAACCGCTCTCAGCTTCAGTTTCCTCATCTGTAAAATAGGGATAATAATAGCATCTACCTCCCATGGTTGTTCTGAAGATCAAATGAGATAATATTTGTAAAATCATTCGCAAACCTCAAAGCACTATATAAATGCTAGTATTGTTGTTGTTTATGAGAGGCAAGTCATGAAAAGAACTTAGAGGAAACCATGAAGGACTGTTACACAGAGAATGAGAAATGCCTGTTCTTCATCAATCAGTCAGCAGGTAATTATTATGAACCTTCTGTATCAGTCAGTAAGAATTTATTAATCACCTATAGTTTGCCAGAAATGGTGTTCAGTGCTGGGGATGCAAAGGCAAATGTGAAACAGTTTCTGCCCTCAAGGAATTTACATTCTAACAGAGGAGAACATCTGTGTGTGTGTGTGTCGCTGATACAAGGCAACCTTGGAGGAGAAGGCACTAGAACAAGGGTGGGGAACCTATACTAGAAACTGGGGGTGTGGGGGGTGAGGGACCTGGAAAACCCTCCCACAGAAGATAGCACTTCAGTTGAGTCTTGAAGGAAACCAGAGAGTCTGAGGTGAAGAGAGTGAACATTCCAGGCTGGGGTGGGGGTAGGGGGCAAGGAGAGAAAACATTCATATAAATATTGAAGACCTGGAAATGAGAGATGAGTGTCCTATGTGGGGAGCACCAAGTAGGCCAGAATGGCTGGACCTAGTCAGTTACATGTCCTCTAGCTTCATTCTAGCACTTGGGGAAGAATGGAGGTGGCCAATGGATGGTGGGCAATAATCCAGTGATGAACAGAGATGGGACAAAAGAACAGGGGATTGAAGAGCAGAAAATAGTATAGAGTTGAACTGGTTCACTAATGGGTCAAGACTATGAAGGGAACAAAGTGAGGCCAGAGCAAGCTTGAGGGCCAGAGGTCACAACGAGGACAAAGAATAGGCTTAGAAAGAGTAAGGCAGGAAGTGTGCTGGAGCCAGATCAAATTGGCTTGTGAAAGCCTATTGTGTAAGTATTTATACTTCATGATGAAACCAGTATCAGGGCTTGATTACACATTTTGTTGATTGTCTAAGTTAGAAAGTGACAAAGAAAATGTTGATAATGAAGATTAAACTTAAAAGTATGTCATGGAAGGGATGGGGAGCCCTTCTTGGATGAAGATCAGGGTACAAACCAGGAAAGCAGTGACCCCACCTCTCCCCAGATCCCTATGACCCTATCTTGAAGCACTGAAAACTTCCCAACCCCCAGAACTAGCTCTGAAAACAGCAGTTCATTTAAAAAACAAAAAAAAAAACCCTAATGCTTGAGATAGTGTTCTTCCACCAAGAACAGAACCCAACTTTAAGACAAAGTTCAAAATCAAGAAATGGAGTAGAAAAATGAGCCAGCAACAGAAAAAGAACATAAAAGGGTACTATGGTAACAGAAGACCCAACTCAGAAGAAGACAATGAGATGATAACAGCTATAAGTAACAACTCAAAGGGGAAAAGTGTTACTTAGACACAAGCCCAACAAGAATTCCTGGAAGAGCTAAAGAATTCTTTTCAAAATCAAACGAGGGGCTGTTAGGTGGCACAGTAGATAGAACACTGGCCCTGGAGTCAGGAGGACCCAAGTTCAAATTCAGCCTTAGACATTTACTAGCTGTGTGACCTTGGACAAGTTACTTTGCCCCAATTACCTTCCTCCTCCTCCCCCCCCAAAAAAAAATCAAATGAGAATGGTAGAGGAAATATTAGGTAAAGAAATGAAAGCAAAGGAAGAAAATTATGAAAAGACAATGTCTTGGTAAAAGTGGCATCAAAAAATGCCGAAGAAAGTAACACCTTAAAATAGAATTGGTCAAATGGAAAAAGA